TATATAATAACAATTACTTTTATTTTTTAGCAACTCAAGAATTGTAATTTAAAGAATGATCTATCAGTTGTAACAAAAGTTATTTCGGACATTTTCCATGATTCAGATCATTGATTACAAAAGTTATTTAAACTAATTTATCAAACTAATTTTGTAATTATTAAGTATTACATTTTTTAAAATAAAATTTATTTAAATTTAGAAAAAAATATAAATAATAAAGAACATAAATACATAAATAATAAAGAATCTTTATAAGAAAGATAAAAATAAAAATGTTACCATTGCTATTTAATAATTTAATGATTAAAATTGAGTAAAAGTTTTATTTAATTTTATTTAATTTTTCGAGACAATTGCTATTCTATATTATTAGTGAATATCATATTTCTTACAAATAAATTTTTTATGTATAATTATTATTATCAACTTTTTTTCATGTACAACTGTAACACATAACACGGCGAAGTTTAAATAGCACATGTAATAAGCGAAGGACTATGTAATAATACGTGCTCTGGCTATTAGAAAAGTGCAGGCTCCACAAAGCAGTGTAATGCAAAAGGCAAGAGAGCGGACTTTAACGGCGCCGCTCGCCATTCTACGTGTGTGGCAAATCATTTTGTTGCCATTACGGCAGATACCGCAATATTTATTGTAGTGAACTTTCCACGGCACATCGTGGATTGCTCTCAAATGAAGTGATTGAATATTCTCACACAACGCATCGCGTTCGCAAGTTTATAAATTTTCTTATACTTTTCTTATACTCAATGCTTGATCGAGTACAGCGTGACATAAAAGGTTTTCAACTCTTGGATCCTAATACACATTAATTCCTTTATCTTTCTATAATCATTCATTCATTAATTCTATAATCATTTAATTCATTAATTCCTTTATCTTTCCTTAAATATTTATAATTAAATTTAAATGCAGTAAGCATATAGTTTAAAGATAATAAAAGGAAACCAAAAAACCTATAAATATGTTACTTATAATAAAACAAAAGAAATAGTTTTTCTTTTTCATTTAGAATTTTAATTTAGCCTATGAATATCCAAAAGAAAAATATTAAATAATTTATTTTTTATACATAAAATCATTATTTGTACAATTAGTACGATTGCAATTTGTAAATATAACATCTATATTTACAATCATTATAATCATAAATTTCACTATTATGCAGAAAGCTTATGAGAGTACTCACAAGATAAAAGTTTCATATTTTGAAATTCAGATGTTTTTTTCAATAATTTTGATTAGAAATTTTGATTAGAAATATTTATATCAATTGACTCGTAATCAATCCGATTATGAGAAATAGAACGATTGTTGTTTGACGATTGTTTCTGTAAAATCTGAGAATATTAAATCATATGATTATTGCAAAATTATATATTATAATATAATTATAATATGCAATATTATATAACGTTATATAATACAATGAGAAGATTATTTGATTTCACGTTATTCAAAGT